AACGCTTAACAGCTATTTGAATTTCTATCTTTTTTGATGTTTATACCCACAATTGCTAACTCGCATTTTGGGCTATTTCTCTTACTGATAACCATACGTTCTGTCTTCTTCCCGTTCAGAGTAGTCTTTTCTTCTCACTTTCTTCTACAAACATGTTTAGGAGCTACAAACATGTTTAGGTTAGTCTTCCTTTTCATTTCTCTTAAACATGTTTAGAGCTAACCACTGATAACCATACGTTCTGTCTTCTTCCCCGTTCAGAGTTAGTCTTTTCTTTCCACTTTCTTCTACAAACATGTTTAGGAGCTATTTCTCTTACTGATAACCATACGTTCTGTCTTCTTCCCGTTCAGAGTTAGTCTTTCTTTTCACTTTCTTCTACAAACATGTTTAGGAGCTATTTCTATTACTGATAACCATACGTTCTGTCTTCTTCCCCGTTCAGAGTTAGTCTTTTCTTTCCACTTTCTTCTACAAACATGTTTAGGAGCTATTTCTCTTACTGATAACCATACGTTCTGTCTTCTTCCCGTTCAGAGTTAGTCTTTTCTTTCCACTTTCTTCTACAAACATGTTTAGGAGCTATTTCTCTTACTGATAACCATACGTTCTGTCTTCTTCCCGTTCAGAGTTAGTCTTTCTTTTCACTTTCTTCTACAAACATGTTTAGGAGCTATTTCTATTACTGATAACCATACGTTCTGTCTTCTTCCCGTTCAGAGTTAGTCTTTTCTTTCCACTTTCTTCTACAAACATGTTTAGGAGCTATTTCTCTTACTGATAACCATACGTTCTGTCTTCTTCCCGTTCAGAGTTAGTCTTTTCTTTCCACTTTCTTCTACAAACATGTTTAGGGAGCTATTTCTCTTACTGATAACCATACGTTCTGTCTTCTTCCCGTTCAGAGTTAGTCTTTTCTTTCCACTTTCTTCTACAAACATGTTTAGGAGCTATTTCTCTTACTGATAACCATACGTTCTGTCTTCTTCCCGTTCAGAGTTAGTCTTTCTTTTCACTTTCTTCTACAAACATGTTTAGGAGCTATTTCTCTTACTGATAACCATACGTTTTGTCTTCTTCCCGTTCAGAGTTAGTCTTTTCTTTCCACTTTCTTCTACAAACATGTTTAGGAGCTATTTCTCTTACTGATAACCATACGTTCTGTCTTCTTCCCGTTCAGAGTTAGTCTTTTCTTTCCACTTTCTTCTACAAACATGTTTAGGAGCTATTTCTCTTACTGATAACCATACGTTCTGTCTTCTTCCCGTTCAGAGTTAGTCTTTCTTTTCACTTTCTTCTACAAACATGTTTAGGAGCTATTTCTATTACTGATAACCATACGTTCTGTCTTCTTCCCGTTCAGAGTTAGTCTTTTCTTTCCACTTTCTTCTACAAACATGTTTAGGAGCTATTTCTCTTACTGATAACCATACGTTATGTCTACTTCCCGTTCAGGGTTAGTCCTTTCTTCTCGCTTTCTTCTACAAACTTGTTTACGAGGTCCTTTAGTTTCTCATTCTACCTATCTTACGTTGTTGAAATTCCGCCTACCGATAATTAGTCTTGGTAGGGCCTCCAGCTCTTTTTGGACAGCGTTGGGTAGGAGGCGGCTCCTTGTCTCATGCATTTTTCTATAATTCATTCGCAGCTCTTAGACGAACTACATTCCTTAGTTCAAGCAGTTTTACTATTCATGGCTAAGAGCTCTCCAGCTACCCACGTTTTAGTGACACACCCTCATTCTCTTGGTATTTAAATAGTGAGATTAAGCTTCCTCCTACGAATCGTTGCTTTGTGGAAGCGACTCCCAAGAGGATGCTTCCCTGATCACTCCTATCCCAACATTTTGAAGTTTAAGGTCAACTGCTATCTTCCTCATATATCCACATAAACGGTGTCGCTTATTCTTTAGATCAATACATGTTTTGTACACCTGACTCCCAAAATGATACTTCCCAGATTACTACAATCTTAACCTGTTCAAGTCTAACAGTTATCTTTCTTGCATCTCCACATAAACTGTGCAGCTGGGACTGTACTCTTCTACCTCGGGTGACTCTTGGGCCTTGTACAGGGGAACATCACTGTAAGAAAAAAAAAAGGAAAAACGCCACTCAATTATTTTATATCCGTATGCAGGCGATTTGCCCCCAGTATAAGTTCTGGATTATTCTGACGTCTTTTCCATAGAGATCGAGTTTTCACAGCAGTTAATATAGAATCTCATGTCTTATGCCAAACAATATATTCCAAAATTTGCCATTAAATAACCCAAAATAGGAGCACACCCAATCCCGTCCTCGGTATGACGATAAACTACATCCGCTTTTGCCGTATTTTAATTCATATATTTTATATTGCAGAACAGCTTATTGCATGATAGAAAGAACTATTCGAACTATTAGGAAAGCTTGGGAGCAAATCGTCTGCATACAGATAGAAAATGAATTGAGGATATATATGAATACAGAAAGGGCCTAAGATACGGATTCACCTTCTCAGCTGATTTATTTAATCGTTAATTATTAATTAAGGCAATCCTAAGAGATGTAGAAGTCATAGTAAGATTTATTTTTAGGGGACATAATCTTAACAGCATAAAATCTGAGCATAACCCCAACTCGTGTATGAAGATAAACTACATCCGAGTCCATGGTAAGACGATAAACTACATCCAAGTCCAGGGTAAGACGATAAACTACATCCAGCAGAAAGGCCTCTGATCAGGAGACTTTGTGGAGTGTGGAAACGCCTCTTAATTGCTGGTGTTCCCAGGTTCAACCAAACCCGGGTTGGTAGCATCTATTAAGGTCCCAACTATGGATAAATAGTTAACCCCCAAAACGGTGTTAAAACACTATGAAAGTGTAAAAATAGGTTTTAATACCAGCAATACGTTCTTGTAAAGAAATTAACAGCAAAGGATTTTTGAAGAAAAAAAAATTTTTACCAGCACTAGATTTTGAAGAAAAAATATTATCAGCAATACATTTTTGGAAAAAAAATTTTTACCAGCACTAGATTTTGAAGAAAAAATATTATCAGCAATACATTTTTGAGGAAAAAATATTACCGGCAATACATTTGTGAAAAAAAATATTACCAGAAATATATTTTTTTTTAAATATTACGAGAAATAAAATTCTTGTCGGCATTAAATAACCCATTAAGGTTGATATCCGTAAAACAAAACCAACCAAACCAAACCAAACCCAATCTTAAATATATTCTTAAATTTTGACGGCACATGTTACTTAGCACGGATTCTCCAACAACTGATCATTTTTAGAAAGCGAAATCCAATAGTGAACTTCCTCATGTTAATAGTAAGTTACAATTTTTTAAAAGAGAAATATGCTTATAAAATCAGTATCATAAATATATAAACACATATTTTATAAAGAACTCAATAACTCTTATAAATGATAGAACCGTATAATTACGTCGACAAGCTAATTAGTTACAACCATATAAATAATAACTACCATAAAAATTAAGAAAAAAACATTTTATTGCAACTAAATACTCGAGAAAATAAACCCCTTGAATATGCTATTAAATGTATCATAGAAATACGTATATCTTCCGTTGGATACGGTAAATATGAGTAATTATCAATTAAAAACCATTACAAACAACCTTCAGCATCATTGAGATGTTGAGTGTTTCCCCGTGCGTGTATTGAAATATGGATAAACACATACATAGGGAAAAATACTGGTATATCTGAAGAGGTATTTACAACAGAGAGGTTAGTAGTCAAACGAACGCAGGTTAGTCAGTAAGAATCAGAAAGAGTATAAAGTCCAACTGTATCTTCCGGTAGAGAGACGGAAGTGTGATGGTCACCTGATCTTCCCAGAATTCTATAGAACTGTCCTATTAGTAGTAGAGAGATCAGTCCATTCTGATGAGAAGGAGGGTGCGCCCCAACAATCATCTATGCGCAGTTTCCCTTCAAGATGTGGGAAATGATGGCTCTCCACCACTTCCTATCCTTTTACAATTTCACCATCCGTGCCACTCCCTGTTCTGCCATCTATTTATCAATGGGGTCTTAAATAGCGTACTGGCTGTTCCCGGGTGCCTTTTATACTCAGCAATACCTGTGAATGTTACATTCTGAAAGCCGTCATTCATCGTTATATGTCATATATATATATATATATATATATATATATATATATAAAATGTCAATTGCTTCGTTCTGGTTTTAAATATAAGTAACCTTTTAGTTTCCATCTTCTTTAAAATTTTATACTTGAACAGTTCATGGTATTCTCAGCATCCGTCTGTAGAATCACTTTTCTATTGTTTCAAGTCTTTTCTTCATCTGCGAAAAGATTGTTCAGCATTCACTGTCACATAGGTGGATAATATGTAACAATTCAACAGTCATTTCTTTGTCCCTAATTTTTCTTTAAAATACCCCAAGAAATATAACTAAAATCATTTACGAATTGTCTTGCTTTAACTATACAAAACCATCCAATGAATACATCCGTCGAACGGCTAAGACACTAAACTTCATATTAACTTGCCATTTGTCATATCAAGTTACTATCCATGCACGTATATTCAAAAATAGCCTAAGAGACTACGACAATGCTAATAGAATAATTTTAATTCTTTTAAATAATGTGTATGCACGATATAATATTTACTGCAAAATAGGTTAGAGATTCTAGAAGCACTTTTCCTAAGACACAATATAAATGAGTAATCATTTAGTCTAGTAAACAGAGGTTCAAATTCATTTAATAATGGATAGATGATATTTGTTCAGCTCAATATTGCTTGTGTTCTGCTACAAGGGTAATGCAAGCAAAGGAGACAAAACGTACACGTTGAGTTTGAAATTATCATGGACAAATTGTAATCATTTAAATTACAAAGGGAAAACAAAGAACACAAATGACTTTTTCTTGATGAGAAAAAATATAGCTGAAAGCATTTGATCAGAAACATTTATCAAAAATTTATCTTCGACGCATCCAGACATGACTTCCTGCAAACAATCACAATCAAGCGAAAGATTGTTGCCTACAGGTCCGTTTAACATTTTATAGTATTTTCGATATATTTTTTAAATGTTACGCATAGTGAACAATATTGTTTCTATGTACAATATTGTCTTTAAGTTTATTCGACTGTTTTAACAATTAGTAAGAACTAGCTTAAAAGACGCCCTATCGGGCGGCATTTAAACTAGCTCCTGTGGTTTAGCCATCATCAAAATAGCTAGGGAGGAGTAGATGTAATAGGCGTCAATAAACTACAGAACAACTCAAAATTGATCACAGGTATTTAAGTATTGGATTAATGTTTAAGCTTAAATTTTAAAAGTTCAATGATAATTCGTCTGCTGCCACTTAATTTAAAGACGATTTGATGTACGTAGATCCTTTTTTTTTTTTTTTCTTACAAACAATTATTTTTATTTCATGGGTAACTGTACAGGTGACGATTTATAAGATAAAATTCAATACAATGTAATAGAAATTAGTTAAAGTTAATACAATGTAATAGAAATTAGAATTAGTTATGCATTCAACATTTGAAGAGTTAAAGAAATATAATATGTAATTTAATGAAACCTCTATTATGAGATATAATTAGCTCTCGGGCGGCATTTAAGCTGTGTTATTATAAAAGTGCACTGCAATTTTACATACAGAAGGTAAATAAGAGTTACTCCCCTTGAACATGGAAGCAATCATAATGGCTTGTATGATATATTGATATATATTTTTAACCTCCCATAATCTGGCAACCCTGAATGTGAGCTCATCGAAAATCGTTTCCTGAGCCTAACTTTTGTATGGCTTTGTATGAGTCATGAAACATTGAACTAGGAACAGTGGGAGTGGGGGAGTTACTTGGACACACACGCACAAACACACACACATACCCTGCACTTTATATATAACATTGGGTGTCAGTGTAGTAGACAGTATTTTGTTGGTCTGGTTTTATTTGATTTGTTTTTAGTGTCTATCTACCCCTCAATAGATTATTTAATACGAACAAGATTTTTACTGCTGTTAATATTTTCTTTTAAATGTATACTTGATAATAATTTTTTCAAAATTGTATTGCTGGTATTTAAACCTATTTTTATACTTTCATAGTCTTTTGAAACCTTTTGTCCATAGCTGGGACCCTAAAAGGTGCTACCACCAAGGGTCAGGGTGGACCTAGGAACACCAGCATTTAAGAGTAGGTTCTATGCTCTTCAAAATCTCTTGATCTAAGCCCCTGCTCTCGTTTATCGTCTTACCCAGGACGCGGAAGTAGTTTATCGTATTACCCAGGATGTAGATGTAGTTTATCGTCTTACCCAGGACGCGGATGTAGTTTATCGTATTACCCAGGATGTAGATGTAGTTTATCGTCTTACCCAGGACGCGGATGTAGTTTATCGGCCCACCCAGGACGCGGATGTAGTTTATCGTCTTACCCAGGATGTAGATGTAGTTTATCGTCTTACCCAGGACGTAGTTTATCGTCTTACCAAGGACGTAGATGTAGTTTATCGTCCAAGGACGCGGATGGACGTCTTACCCAGGATGTAGATGTTTTATCGTCTTACCCAGGATGTAGATGTAGTTTATCGCCAACCCAAGACGCGGATGTAATTTAGCCTGGACGCGGGTCGTCTTACCCAGGACGTAGATGTAGTTTATCGGCCCACCCAGGACGCGGATGTAGTTTATCGTCTTACCCAGGATGTAGATGTAGTTTATGGTCTTACCCAGGACGTGGATGTAGTTTATCGGCCCACCCAGGACGCGGAAGTAGTTTATCGTATTACCCAGGATGTAGATGTAGTTTATCGTCTTACCCAGGACGTAGATGTAGTTTATCGGCCCACCCAGGACGCGGATGTAGTTTATCGTCTTACCCAGGATGTACATGTAGTTTATCGTCTTACCCAGGACGTAGATGTAGTTTATCGGCCCACCCAGGACGCGGATGTAGTTTATCGTCTTACCCATGGGGCGGATGTAGTTTATCGTCTTACCCAGGACGCGGATGTAGTTTATCGTCTTACCCAGGACGCGGATGTAGTTTATCGTCTTACCCAGGACGTAGATGTAGTTTATCGTATTACCCAGGACGAAGATTTAGTTTATCGTCTTAACCAGGACGTGGATGTAGTTTATCGTCAAACGCAGGAGAGTTATTTGGTTGGCTACATTCTAACAGTTGTAGTATACTGAGGCTCAACGTGATGTTATTTGAAACGGATACATGGAGCTAAACTTCACGGAAAAAATATACATAAAGATTTTGTTATTCTTATTATATTATCCTCGTATGATATTTTATACTGCGCATTATTAATATATCTTATACAGCCATCAAGAAAACCTCTCCAAAAATGAAATGTATTATGTGATGCGATTTTTTCGTAAATAACAGATTCTATAATATTGAATATTTCTTTGCCATGAGTGCGGTATAGGATCTGCCAGGCTATATTAATATTTGCTTTTTATTAAACTTGACCAACCTAAAAATTGTCGGGGTGTAGCAAAGATTATCTACCACAGTGACAACGCCCTGTTCTTGATAATGACCGACAAAATATATGAGCAGAAGAAAAGATGATTTGGCAAGATTCTATCGCAAAAACTGATCCCATTATAAAATATCATATTCGAAAATAGAAAAAATTCAATAGAAAATCAAAATGATAAACCATGTCGTAACGTTTAAGAAAAAATGTATATATATCATTTATTCGAAAATTATAACATAAATATGTTATAAAATCACTACAAAAATAGCCATTTTGTTTCAACGCTTTTATTGTCGTATCAAGTCATCGTGTTGAAGGTAGAATAAAAAGTTTTAAAATAAATGGAGAATAAAGAGTTTTAAAAAGCTTATATTATTATATATAAATGATTATATATAAATTTTATAGATATATTATATATTATATAACTTAATGTTCTTTCTTTCTTTATATATATATATATATATTGTGGACTTTCTCATCGTTGATCGACGCGGGTTGTTGACCCGCTCCTACAGGGTACACTTTTTAAGACGCACGAGTGTCAAGCACCTCAGTTCCTAGGAACAGACAACGTGTACATATGATTTGATTATAGTGGTCAAGGTTTTGTGTTGAACCAACCCCATTTTGGGAGAGCCGAATGCAGAGACCTGGTACACTGCGTACCACAAGATCCCCAAATGACCCTCCGCAGGTTTTGCAATCACAGTTGTCATTCTACTTAACCAATTGCGATCCAAGGCTATAGAACCCAGTCTGTTCAACTATTTACCCAAGAAGAGGAGTAATGCCTTTTCCAAGAGTATTAGCAAGTAAGTGAATGTATATGGATATATATATATATATATATATATATATATATATATATATATATATATATATACGGGGAGAAATAATAAGAGGAAAGTAAAAGCAGTTTAAGGAGACTTAAAAGTGTTTAAGACGACAAAATATAACGATTGACATTGTATTCAAAATTTTGAGAATCAAATTTGACCGGAAAGCAAAATACCTGACGAGAATCCCACAAGCAAAAAATGCGAAAGAACTTTATGATTACATCTAGATATTTCATCAGCAAAATGATGAGACCTTCGTGCCAAACTAGTACTACGTTTAATTCCTTAAATTCGCCGGTGTCGTGCGAGATAGATAGATAGATAGATAGATAGTGATGTTATTTATATATCCTATAAGTGCCGCAATACATATATTTAGCTCTTTTGATTCTTATGTGATTTTTCCGCAAATGAGATGCGTAAAACAATATAAGATGAGCGTATCAACGACACTGCAATGAAATACTTTAGAGATGATCCGGTCGTAATGATTCAATAATCTGTCATTTTAAATAAATAACAAAATATACATGAAGAAGCCAAATTACTAAGCGAAAGAACAAGCACTAATACATTGTAGAACGAGCAAATATCTTTTTAAAACAACGCTACAACTCTAGGGCATCGATTAAATTATTTCTTCCCTGGTATGAATATGATTCTTCTAAACATTCTCCCATTACATTGGAGAGATATCTTGAGTTTACGCTCTTTTTGTAATCCATGTTAGTTTCGACCCATTGCTATAAGTTCTCGACTGGTTTCTAGTTCGGCAATTATTCCCGTATTCGCTGGACTGTATTGATGTTATTTTAGGTCTAAGCTCCGACTCGTCTGGCGCCTATCCTCCGAGTCGTTACGCTGAACACATAAAACAGACCCGTATGATTTAGGCTGCATGCTATAGTTTTACCCAATAACTATAGACGAATTTACAAATGCAGTCAAAAAAGATGCTACATATGTGTTATATTCCGTACTAATAGGAATATCGAATGGACCAACACTGTGGATAAATAGTAATAGGTTTATTGTAGAAACCAGTACAAGCAATGAAGTTATACGCACGGTCGTCGCAAGCGTGCAGCTATCGGAAGGCCGCTAGTTCTCGCAGATCCCTGCGCGAAGCTATTTAGTAACTGCCCCACGCAGTCACATGTGGCACAAGGCCGAATTTAATGTGGGGTTACCGAGCCCGAAACCTCGGCCAAAAAATCCCCGTAGACCCCTCATAAACGGGATCGGGTCTGTCTACCTCCCCGGATGAGACTCTGCCCTTCGGCATAGCCTCGTCTGGGTTCCTCTCTGCCCGAAGGTAGAGAGTTCGACTAGCGCAGCTGGGAAAGATCCCAGCGCGACTCTAATATTCCAGATCGACTCTGCTGTCCGCTGTCCTAACGGATACTTATAGGTGGTTGCCCACTATAGTGCCGCCACTCATGGGGGTGGCAGGTTATTCCATTACATCAACATAAAAATGAGTCGTTCTTATCTTTGCTCATATTAGAATATTTTCGTTTCTTTAAATATATATGTTTTCTATTTTTTAATAATATATAGTAATTGAGGGCTCATCTATTTACAACTTTATAACAACAGATAAAGACAGTATTTTCATTATTCGGATTATTCGGATATTTATCACAAAGTTTCGACCGTTATACGCTCCGGCCTTTTTCAGG